TACCTGTGGCGAATGGGAGAGGGGGGGGGGAGCAACGATTTAGTAATACCAATTACACACGATTATGTTTAATCTTCCAAACCTTAAAATTATAATTTATAATTATTAAAGAACATATTTGGAAAATGGAAAACTAAGGTTGACATGAACAAAAGAGGACAAGGAATTATTCGGTAACCGCCAAAAAATTTCTCTGAAAAAAAGTTTTCGGACATAAAGTCCTAAAATTTGGCAAAGGGAATGGCTAAATCTTTTATTTTGATACCTTTAAAAAAAAAAGTGGGGACAATCGGCATTTCAAGACAATACCATTTAAGCTATTACCCATGACACACTACGGTATAGAATTCGTTGTTTTTATCTTAAAAGAGAGGAATATTTGCCAAGGAAAAGTAAATATCCACATTTTTGGTGAAATTAATTTTGTAAATTTGCGTCAGTGCAAACTGACACTTTTAATAATATGTCACGTAATAGACTTTTATGTTTAGAATAGAATGTGAGAAGACAGAACACTAGATAATTAGATCCGCGTATTATTTTATTTCTACCAAAATATATTTTTATATTTTTAGAATTGCATTTCAATATTTTGTTCAGCCTAAACCTTAAATCATAATCCTGTTTATTTACTCAACCTTTATATTTAAATAAAAGTTCACGGAGTACAAACAAGAAACAAGATGTACACTGTACACTGTACACTGGCTGGACAGAGTCTTAAACTTATAAGTTAGCAATTTAACAAGTTAGGTTTCGAAGCTAAGGTTTGGGTCCGTTGCTACTAAAATTGTGTAAAAAATATTTTTAACAATTGAAATACACTAACAAAGTTTCCACCAAAAGGATTGTTTAAGGGAATTTATTAGTCTTTGAACGACACTGATTTTAGAAACCGGGTTTCGCGGTTTAGTTATTTTTTTAGTATACATGCTTAAATTATGTGGAATTTTTTTGCAATTTAAAAATATTTGTACTGTAAACTGTACATTGAATTTTAGTCGTACACTTGCTGTTTGTATGAGTTAAGCTCTATTCTGTACATGAACATATTACTAAAACTGGGAACTTTGCACTCCTGATTTAAACCTGAATAAAGTTAAGTCTCTAAAGAGTTCAGAATTAAATCTTAAATCTGAATTTCCTCCACGAATACGGAGAAATGCAGGTAAAATGTTGTTCTTTGTTTACGCCCTTGTTTAAAACTACGTGGTTAAATATTCTATTTTTTTTAAATGGGCTGTCTACGTACCGAGTACGTAATTTCAATTGTTCCTTTATGTTTATAAAGCATGCCCAAAAAAAAACGTTATCCCATACACCTTCGATCTAAGTATCCTTGTTTTCTAATTGAGAAATTTACCTTAAGCGGGTTCTCTAACAAACTGTCAGAATTTTACCTTTTTTATTGAAAAACGACTATTTTTTAATTATGGTTGCTTAGATATAAATGGTTGTGAATCGGACATGCGTTTTTGTAAAATGGAAGTTCCTTAATATATAAGGCCTACTACAATCTCTTTACGTCTAAGAATGAGTTTTGAATTTTATTTCAGGGTTTAAAGAGTTCTGCTGGTTCCTCGGTAGGACTGAAAACCCCTGAGGATGAAATCACTTGGAAACCATTTCCCGGTGAAACTACTCTGACTAGCAATGGAGGTTCTGTTACCATATTCTCCGGAAGGAAAACTGAGAATAAGAATGAAAGTGTCCTGAAAACAGCTGAAGTTAAAGAAGAAATTCACGGCGCTCAAAGCCAGGCAGAAACTGTGAGCAGGTGAGCCGACATCTTGTTCTTTTTCGTGATTTAAAAATGAAAATTTCATTTAAATTAGCAACAAAATGTGCCTTCTTATCTTGTAGCTAGATTTTCACATGTTCTAATTGTTTTTTTTGTGATTTTTTTAATTTAGTTTTCTAATTTTTTTTAATACTGTTCTAAAACTGTTCTAAAAATAATTGGCCTTTATTCGAATGAAGACTAATATCAAGAGGACGCAAATGCAAAGATGCCAACGCCCGATTTACAACGGTATCGTTGAAACCTTAACCTGATAAAAAAAAAAATATGTAAAGTACCGTTATTTTTAAGGCTCAAAAAGTGTTATTTCTAATATTTTTCCCATTGTTTCTTGTAAGCAAGAAATGCACAAGGCGCTTTTGCAGAGAAACCTTTGATAAAAATAAACATTTTAAATAAACACAAGATATCTAATTCATAATTGATCAAACAGAACCTAAAGGGCACCGTTTTAAGACGAGCATTGCCATCTTTTTATGGAGAGTCCCTTGAAATTAGGCTTATAGTCCCTTTAAGATATGTTGATGATCCCTTGACCTTGTCCTTTATCATTAATTGAATATTTAGGTTGATAGATAATCCACATGTTAGGCTGGTGTCGAATGCCTTTAGGTCCTTTGGATCATTCGCCTGGGAATCTATTAATCGAGAGTTTATTAAGTTAATAAATTCCGAGAGTTTTTTAATTTAATAAATTCCGAGAGTTTATCTAGTTAATAAATTGCGAGAGTTAAGTAAATTAATAAATTCCGAGAGTTTATTAAGTTAATAAATTTCGGGAGTTTATTAAGTTAATAAATTCCGAGAGTTAATTAAGTTAATAAATTCCTAGAGTTAATTAAGTATACCTAATTAACTCCGAGACAAAATGTTATAACATTTTGTCTCGGAGACAGCTGCGTAGTGCATAATATATAAATTTACTGAAAGATAAAAAACATATTTTTATTTAGGTCTGTTAAGAGGAGTTGACACGGTTTTGGGAGGAACTGTTCAGTTTCTCCGCCAGTTTGATAACGAAGAAGAGGGATATATCTAAATAAAAAATATTTTTTTGAAAAATAAAAATATTCTCTCTGACTTAAAACTTTTCTAAATTTCTTTTTGAAGAATAACAAGAAAAGACCGAAATTTTTTCATACCCCCCTTCTCCTCCGCAAAAAAACTACCTGCCAATAAGACAAAAGATTGATGAGGAAGTGCACTTTAAATGAAAGAGATGAATACAAATTACATTTTGATAATATTTGTGATATATCAAATTTGAGAAGCGATGGAAAAGGATTCTTGCTGCCTCGGTTCTCCAGTTTCTCTTGGTTTTGGTGAATATCTCCGTATGTATCCTGAGGTACCTGGATATAGATCTTCCTCTCAGGGTACCTGGTACACCAGGGATACCGGAGAGCCCCTCGCTTCGGAAACGTAAGCACACTGAGATGGAGGATCTAGAACTTTCTAAGGTTGGTTTTCATCCATATTTTGTTCTTTTAAAAATAACTTCCCAAGTGTAAAATCTTCCGAGTAGCATCTTCCCAATGTTAAATGTTCTAAGGGAACTTTTTAAAATGTCCTGGCCACAGCGCTCGGCTTTTGAACCATTCTTTTTATTAGAAATAGGAAAAATGAAACTTGAGATGATTTTTTAGAGAAAAAATTAACATGGGAAAATAAACATTTGGGAATTAGTTACTTTGGTATTTGCCTTTGAGAAAAATAAAAAATAATGGAATAAAAACGAGTGGAGTGGGTTATCAGAAAAATTAGACAAACAAAAAAGTTTTAATTTTTTTTTCTGATATCTTGGCTGAAAAATCAAAACTGGAATCATTATCTGTTGATGATGATATCTTGTGAAGAAATATGTAACCATAAAACTTTTTATTAAGGATAAGATTGGTTCTAAAAAGTTGAGAACTGACCGGGTTTATTTCTCTATCCAGGATTTTGTCAGGTTAGAACCATCTCAATCAGTTTTAAGCTGAACTAGCACAATTAAAAATAATATTCAAATGCAAATTTTAGAAAGAAATAAGAACAGACAAAATGTCATTCATTAATTTGTATAACCTTAATGTCATAAAAGATAGGCTGAGATCATTAAAACTTCATTTTAAATATTATCTATCCTGAAAAATAATTTTATTCATATTATTTTAGTTTCATGCTTGGGTCAAGAACTGAACATTCTAATAATTTGAAGAACTACCAAGAGCAAAACAAGTGTGAAGAGGAAGAGAAGAATAATGAGCAAGGAGAGCGCGAAAAACAAGAAACCCCACAAGAACAAGAGAGGCGTGAAGTGAACCATGACGAGCAAAGAAACCCCAAAGAACAGGGAGAGCAAAAAGAAAAAAAAACGCAGGAAAATAAAAAGACGTACGCTGAGACGGAGATGAAAAACGGTCTAAAAATGCTGAAAAAACAGGAAACAGACGGAGAACGGGAGAAGGACGGAGAACGGGAGAAGGACGGAGAACGGGAGAAGGTCAGAGAACGGGAGAAGGATGGAGAACGGGAGAGGGATGGAGAACGGGAGAGGGACGGAGAACCGGAGAAGAACGGAGAATGGGAGAAGAACGGAGAATTGGAGAATGACAGAAAACGGGAGAATGACGGAGAACGGGAGAATGACAGAGAACGGGAGAATGACAGAGAACGGGAGAATGACAGAGAACGGGAGAAGGACGGAGACCGGGTGAAGGACGGAGACCAGGAGAAGAAGGGAGAATGGGAGAAGAATGGAGAATGGGAGAAGAACAGAGAACGGGAGAAGAACAGAGAACGGGAGAAGGACAGAGAACGGGAGAATGACGGAGAACAGAATGAAGGAGAACAGAAGGATGGAGAACAGAAGGAAGGAGAACAGAAGGATGGAGAACAGAAGGATGGAGAACAGAAGGAAAGAGAACAGAAGGATGGAGAACAGAAGTATGGGGAACAGAAGGATGGAGAACAGAAGGATGGAGAACAGAAGGATGGAGAACAGAAGGATGGAGAACAGAAGGATGGAGAACAGAAGGATGGAGAACAGAAGGATGAAGAACAGAAGGATGAAGAACAGAAGGATAGAGAACAGAAGGATGGAAAACAGAAGTATGGAAAACAGAAGGATGGAGAACAGAAGTATGGAGAACAGAAGTATGGAGAACGGAAGGATGGAGAACAGGAGAAGGATGGAGAACATGAACTTGCTGATATGAAGGAACAAAATGAACAAGGAATGGAAGCTTATCAGGTCTAATTATTAATTTATATTTTTTAATTTCTTCAATTCGTTGAACTTAAAAAAAGTCTTAATTAAATGAGAACATGTTTTGTACTTAATCTTAATAATAAAAACATGTATTTTTTCTAATAGTATTTCCGTGCTGATCCGTGGAAAGAGAATGAAGAGAAAGAGGAAGAAAGAAGAAAAAGAAAAGAGGATAGAGAGGAACAAAAGAAAGTTGAAGAAAAGGAAGTATCTGGAAAGAGTGAAGATAAGACTTTTAACAATGCTGAGATAATAGAGAAGAACAATAATTTCTTGAAGGATGGTTCTGGTGTAAACAAGAAGGATGAAGAAGATCTTGGAAACGGACCTGAAATCCCCAAAACTCTAGAATTTGAATCTGACAAATTGTCCCAAACTGGAGAACAGGTTCACGGAGAAAAATATAAACAGGAACCAGAGATAAACACAGGAAGCGGAAAGGCAATAAGACATATCGTGGAATCAGGAGAGGAGAAACATAAGAAAGTGAAGACCTTGACAACTATCGCCATGGAAGCAGGAAGGAAGTCGGGAAAAGGAAATAACATGGTTCCTGAATTCGAAAAAGAAAAGGAATTAGATAAAAGGAAATCCAAAGAGATAGATAAAGACGGAAAGACTGGTGAACGAGAGTTAATTAACTC